GATGTCCAAAGTGGGGGGGCGGGGAGGGGAAAAAGACAGAAAGAGGCATATTGAATATGTACAGCACTTTGTAAGAAACAAATTCACCTGGGCAGAGAGCCAAGTTAGAAAATATTGTTGCACGCCACCCCAGTCCCTGAGTGGTGCAAGATTCCAGGGGTTCCAAGCACTTACCCAAGGTTCAGTTTCTGTGGAATGAGGGATACCAGAGACTGTGGTGTCTTTATGCTATATGGTTTATTTACGCATACAGTAGACGCTCAGGTTGTGAATGTGATCCACGCAGGATGCACGTTAGCAACCCACAGCGGCGCACCTGCACATGCGCGGGTTGCGATTCAGCGCTTCTGCGCATGTGCAAAGTGCGATTTAGCGCTTCTGTGCATGCGTGACCACCAAAACCCAGAAGTAACCCGTTCCGGTACTTCCAGGTTTCGGTGGTCCGTAACCCGAAAAAATGGAACCTGAAGCATCTGTAACCCAAGGTATGACTGTATATGCAACCTGAACCTACGTTGGAGGGGCTCACAGCATTAACACCCTAAGAGGGTCTTGATTCTCTTATAGCCACAGCCTTGGATTCGAATAGAAATCAGACATGTCTCTCCCTCTCAGCCTTCTGCCTGCAGCCTGCTTCTAACTTCTAGTCCTCTCACACCCCTCAACTCTGGCTTTTGTCCTTCTAACTACTAGCCAGTTGAGGGAGGGGAGCCCACCCATTTTCCCTCTGGCACAGAGCTACTTCCTTCATTACCTTAATGACCTGTACCTAGGGGCCATTACCAAGAAGATTGCCTGGCTATCCCAACAATTGAATCCTTTTTGGATCCAGGAATTAGAAGGGATTCGGGAGGGATGCGGATGGCGGGAGGGACGCGGGTGGCGCTGTGGGTTAAACCACAGAGTCTAGGACTTGCCCATCAGAAGGTTGGCAGTTTGAATCCCCGTGACGGGGTGAGCTCCCGTTGCTCGGTCCCTGCTCCTGGCAACCTAGCAGTTTGAAAGCACGTCAAAGTGCAAGTAGATAAATAGATACCGCTCCAGCGGGAAGGTAAACGGCATTTCCGTGCGCTGCTCTGGTTCGCCAGAAACAGCTTAGTCATGCTGGCCACATGACCCGGAAGCTGTATGCCAGCTCCCTCGGCCAATAAAGCGAGATGAGCGCCGCAACCCCAGAGTCGGTCACGACTGGACCTAATGGTCAGGGGTCCCTTTACCTTTGCCTTTACAGGCATGCAGCCTAACCCCCCACCCCCAAACTCACAACAGCATAGAGCTGGGAATCAAATCTGCCTTCCCCCACTTTGAAATCACATCATGCCAAATTCCTTCTTCTTATGCCAGGAGGCCCCCAACATAGCTGGAACTCTGAAGCAGGAAGTGCTGGGATTTTGTTATTAGATGGAAGATGACTAGATAAAACACTGAACTCCTCTAAGAGGCTCCTACAGCCACAGTTAATGACTTATTTTTTCCCCACCCCACTCGACATTTCTATGTGAAACTGCACCATGTTAGCAATTCTCATCCCAAAAAAACACTAGGGGTGTGCACAGGCCCCAGGCTTCACCTTTTAAAAAAATTCTATATGTTTATTCTTTGCTCTGTAGTTTGGGTTCTGAGCCATTGTGTCAAAATGAAACCCCGTGTTCCCTCTTCACTCTTTATGCGGTTCTAAAAACTCTTATAACGTTTTTCCCCATTTGGCAGAAACAGATGAAATTTGCCAACACAATAACTCCTCCAGAGTGGATTAAGGCTGCCAAATTGCAGACAAATAAGCTCAGAGACTTTTGTGAGGGGAATTAAAGTGATTTACTTTACTCCATGGTCCATATTAGGTCAATGCTTTTATTAGGCCAAGTAAAACACCAAAATCGATGTTAGTTTCACATTTTTGAGGGGAGCAGGGTTTGTTTGTTGCACTTTATTTTCCTAAAATAATGAAGGGTGGCTGAGTAGCTTGTATATTTAAATATATATATATTTGCAGCTTCCTGCTGGCTGTCTTGACTTTCCACGTACTTTTTTTTAGTGTTGGGAGAGGATGCCCTTCAGTAGGCATTACAGGTGAAAATATACTTAGTACTGCCTGGGGTGTGATTGTCCGCTAACAGTGATTAGGTGTTCTGGAGTGTTTTTTTTCCTCCCATGCAGAGCTGCAGATTATTATTTTTTAAGTTAAATTAAACTTTTAACTTAAAAAAAGCCACAAACTCCTCTGCTGCTCTGCTTTAACAAATGAAAATTTTAAAAAAAATCACCAGAACTCTTTAGTGCATCAAAGCCTATTGACCTAGAGCACTGGTTTTTCACCTTTGGGAGGGGTTCACGAGCCCTTCCAAGAATCTGATTAAAGCTATGGACCCCCTCCTTAGAAAAATGCAGATACAAAATATTGCATACATTTTATTTTATTACATGGGTTGCACCCAGTTCATGGATCCCCTAGGGTTAAAAACTCCTGAACCAGAGTAAAGGAACATAGGCACAGAAGAACACAGAGATGCAGCACAGAGAAAAGTGAGGAGTACAGAACAACAGCCGCATGAGGCTTTGTGTGGGCACATTGTTGACATTGTGGTTTGATTCGGAAAGGGGAAAAATAACTGTGGTTTGCCTTGTTGTCCAGCCCCAACAGAGTGGTTGCACACACACATACCCCCCCCCCCAGCAAAACCGCTATTCACTGTGTTTTGCAGAGGCTAAGGACATAGATGTAATTACTATCATGGGCACTACCCAATGGATCACCCTTCACCAGGCCTTCCTTCACACTAAGTGCCGACAATTATTGTTAGGTACTTCTGGAGTTCTAACCAGGAATCCCATGGCAAGTAAGTGTACCAGGATCCACTGACAGGAGGGGACCCATCATAGGTCCCTTCACCCAAGACCCTTTCAGTCCTTAAGCCCCACCCACAGAGAAACCAACTACAGTCTGAAATGTGCATCTTCTTGCTCAGAAATTGGCACGTTTTACAGGTTTCGTGTGCACCATTTGGTCTAGCTTTTCCCCATCTCATTTTGGATGCAGGAGGCTGGGATTCCTCAGACCAGACCTATGCAGACAAGTGACTCTCAAACTGTTCATTCAAAGTTTCTTTAGTGACACGTAGAAGGGACCAACCAGTATTTATGCAACTGGGAACGTGCAGGGATATAGAGAAGTTGTTGGTGTTTAGAAAAGAATAAGAGAAAAGGGAGATACTGTAAATCACAGTCTGTGTGGGGATTCCATGGAATGGAGCCATAAACATTTATTGGAACAAATACGCTCCTAATTAGCCTTGTAGGCTAGAGCAGTAGATCTTCCTGAAACACAGTTTTAAAAAAATGTTTGGGGTTCTACTCAGAATGTCTCCACAAATGAAACTGATTTGTAAAAAATGTTACTTGAAAAAAAGAGAGAGACATTGCACATACTTTTGTAAACCAATAAAATCTTTAATAAAAAATACATTTAAAAAAAGAAAAAAAGAAAGGGCAGATTTGGAGAACAGGTTTCGAGTAAGAAAAAAGGGTTGGGATGTTAAAGGGAAGTCCTACATCTAGACAAAGCAGATGTGATGGGTGTGTTTTGCAGTGGCTGTTGAATGTGAGTTGTGGACCATGCAGCTGCTGGGTAAAATCAACTGTGAGGTCTCAGGTGACCTGCCAGGGCTATTTTAAGGATTAAGGGAATATATGTATGTTAGGTGAGCTAGCCTTAAATGGGGTTTAAACTTGGGTTTATTATGGACCCCCTCTAGCTGGGACCTGGCCTGAAACAGGCTATCTTTGCTCAATGTGTGATGTAAGTACAGTGGTACCTCTGGATGCGAACGGGATCCGTTCCGGAGCCCCGTTTGCATCCTGAGTAGAATGTAAGACATGACTGCACGGGTCGCGTTTTGCCGCTTCCGCGCAAGTGTGTGACGTCATTTTGAGCGTCTGTGCATGCGCGAGCGGTGATTCCCAGAAGTAACGTGCTCCATTACTTCCAGGTTGACACGGAGCGTAACTTGAAAACGCTCAACCTGAAGCACATTTAACCCAAGGTATGACTGTACAGCTGTAGGGGACATGGGTGGCGCTGTGGGTTAAACCACAGAGCCTAGGACTTGCCGATCAGAAGGTTGGCGGTTCGAATCCCCACGACGGGGTGAGCTCCCGTTGCTCGGTCCCTGCTCCTGCCAACCTAGCAGTTCGAAAGCACGTCAAAGTGCAAGTAGATAAATAGGTATCGCTCCGGTGGGAAGGTAAACGGCGTTTCCATGCGCTGCTCTGGTTCACCAGAAGCGGCTTAGTCATGCTGGCCACGTGACCCGGAAGCTGTACGCCGGCTCCCTCGGCCAATAAAGCGAGATGAGCGCCACAACCCCAGAGTCGGCCACGACTGGACCTAATGGTCAGGGGTCCCTTTACCTTTACCTATGACTGTACAGCATCCCTGGGAGATAGCCATCCAGCCTCTGCTTAAATACCTCAGGGAAGGAGAACCCACTTTAGCCATTTGTTAACAGCCCCTTGCTATCAAGAACATTCCCCTAATGTTTTGCTTCAGTCTGCTTCCCTGATGTTTAGGGTTTATGCTTTTGTCATGGTTCATGCATCTATTATGAAGGCTAAACATTAATGCTAAGTTCTCCCATGCCAATTGTCCCTGCTTTGGGGAAATTTCTTCCTGAGCTCCTGCTTTATCACTGAAGCAGGATTTCTTGTGCAGTCATATCCCAGGTGCCAATTTTGGAAACAGAAACTCTTGTTTCTTTCTCTTATCCAGCTGGCTGGCAGAGGGGGTGGTTGTGGACAGGAGTGTGCTGGAGAAAAGCAGAGCGATCCAAGCGCAATTGACTTTGGAGTGTACATTCTTGCGGTGTAATTATCTCATCAGAAGTGGAAGCTTGGCTCAGTGAGCAGAGAGACAAAGCATCTTTAAATGAAGCCAGGCTGTGTTCCAAAACCTGTAGGGGGGCAAGAGAGGAGGGAGATGGTGGGAGGGTTTAAAAAATCATAATAATAAAACTTCCTGCAGTGGTCAGGAGGACGTGAGCCAGGGATTGGAGAAGCAATTGACGGGGCTTCCCTGCACGCAGACACGGAGTGCTTGAAGGCTGTCTCCTGTCACACTTCTTCAGAGGAAGGTGCAATAGGTCACAGCGTGGGACTGAAGGAGCTCAGATACACAGGGAAGCTTTCTGAGGCAAGACTGGAATATGAGGAGCTGGAGAGCACTGGCATATCTCTTCTTCTTCCCTGTTTGGGCAGGGGTGAATCCAGTGGTTCTAGGACTTGGCCCCCATGTGAAGGGGAAGGATGCTCCTGCAAGGCACCTCCAGCACCAGCTGCAGCATGGCTCCTGCACCTACACTTTCCTGCTGCCAGAGCTTGGGGGCTGTGACTCGCCTGCTGCCGAATACCAGGTTTCCAACTCACTCCAGAGGGATGCTCCCTCCCTAGCCGAGGCCAAGTGGCCAGTAAAGAGGCTTCAGCAGCTGGAAAACATCATGGAAAATAACACCCAGTGGCTACAGAAGGTAAGACCAGGGGCTTGGATCTGCAAGGGACTGTCATGTCCTCCTAGGCTGTGCATACACCATGCATTCAAAGCACATCCCACCACCCTAAGAATTCCGAGAACTGTAGTTTGTTGAGGGTGCTGGGAATTATAGCCCTGTAAGAGGGTAAACTACATTTTCCAGGATCCTTTGTGTGTGCTTTAAATATATGGTGTATATATGGCCTTAGATTAGTGGTTCCCAACCTTTTTTTGGCCATTACTCACCTAAGTATGTCTAAAATCCTGATTCCCTCCACACACCCCATGACATATAATTCTTATTATTCAAAAAGTGAACTCCTGTTCACGTGGAGGAAGCCTAAAAGGCCATTAACTGTTAATAACTCATTATGGGGTTTCTGGATAGCCTCCCATCCAGGCACTGACTGGACCCAGATCTACTTTGCTTCAGGAAGGTTGCAGCATCATACCTCCAGCCCCCTTGTGCAACAGAATCCGGGGAGATCTGTATAAGTCATCTGAAGATCCACAAAGAACACAGTCAGGTGGTGAGATCTCCTGTACAAGCTCCATTAGCATTAATGAATGCTGCATAAGAGACTGGGCATAGCTGAGTGTGGTGTGAACATGCACCTAAAGTGTCACAATGTGACTAAAAGACTGAGTTGTGAATTGGAAAATCTCTTTGAATCTTGCTTTTGCCTTGAACTGGGAATGGGTGAATCCGTCAGTTTCAGTTTCCCTAGGTTTATCATTTTTTCACTCTTCAGTTCAGTTCTCTACAGTTTATGATTTTTTTAAAAAAAGGCTGCATGAATATTCACCAGCATTTTAGTATTTCTCCTAATATGCACATCTTTGTGTCCAATTTTGCCAAATAAATACGTTTTTTATGAAGCAACTTCCCCTAATATAACGCATTTTTATGCACACTTTACTCTTCAACCATGAATCAGGATCCACAGGCAGGTCACAAAGCCACACCAGGTGGGTCACAGCAAAGCTGTTGATGCCCTGTTGGATTCTAGCTTAGGCTGACCAAAGAAGCACAACGTGCATGTCTGGGCCAGAACACATTCTTCTGATCAGATGCTTTTTGTCACTTTCCACAAGTGCTGCAATGTGGCAAGAGAAAGGCAGAATATCTATCTATCTATCTATCTATCTATCTATCTATCTATATCTATCTATCTATCTATCTATCTATCTATCTATCTATCTATCTATTGCTATCTTTCTGGCCACCCACATTCTCATGCCTTTCTCCTGTCACACTGTGGGGCTAGTTTTCATTTAGTAGCAACACTAATATGTATATTGCTCTGTGATTTTCCATGTTAGGGTTAAACAGCATGCATTATTAGCACAATTAAGTCTAAATCAAATGTATAAATGTGAATGCTTCACCTACAAAGCAACCTGCTGATCAAGGTACCGGAGCATACTAGGTATTCCCCCGCACCCAGTCAGTTGGCAACCCTAATCTAAAACAGTGGCGGATGTGACTCAGGAATACGCAGTAAGATGACCACAGTGACTCCTCTGCTTGTAACCTCATCCAACATTTTAACGATTAATCAAGAGCAGGCAGTTTCCCCACAGTGAATGTGCATGTGCCTCTGACATTTTCAAATTGCTTTATTGCTGCTCTTGTTCTTAAAATAACAGTGCAACTGGCTTTCCAGCTATGCACATGCAGAACAGTGGTGGGGAAGAAGAATGACAGATGCAAAAAGGCGGGGAGAGGGGGCAATGTACTTTAGGAATGCATTGCATATACTGCTCTTTTTCCAGCCTAGCATTTTGATATGCATGTGGACATTTTCATGACTCTTTAATTATATCATTTGAAATACACTCTCTTGAAAGTTCTCAGTACAGGCCCAGTAACTAGAAAGTGACCGTCCGGTGGCATTAATATCCTTAGATACCCATGTGGCAGTTGCTCTCCCTGCCAGAATACTATTCCCCTTTGCTTCAGCTGTTTGAGGGCAGCAGGCGGAAGATGCTTTCTTCAGGATGAGACACAGGCTTAGGATGGAAGAGTGGTTACACATGAGCATTCCACATGGAGGTATCTATCAGCTACGGAGACCCGATGGCATGCATTGGGTTGACCCTGAGGTCTACAACCATCATATTTCTTTAGGAAGGGGGCAGGGAAGGGTGAAACGATTGTTGTATGATTCTGTCAGGGCTGGCCCACTCATGAGGCAAGGTGAGGCGACTGCTTTGGGCAGCAGGATTCACAGGGGCAACAGATCCAGCCTCCAAGGAACGCATTGCCTGCTGCTGCAATGGTAGAACCAACAGCTACAGTGTACTCCTTGGAGGCTGGATCTGCTGTGTCATCAGCAGCCCGCACCCCAATGCCTCTTGGGGTATCCTAGGGATTGCATGCACTTAGCGTGAGGTTGATTTCATTCCCCCCTTGTTCCCAAAATAGATCTTTATCCCCCCCCCGCCATGTTCATTCACTCCATATTCCCTGGTGGGGGGAGCATTTTGTGGTTTGCCTCGGGTGCCAAAATGTCTTTAGCCAGCCCTGGATTTTGCTCTGGCGATACCCCATTGACAAGCGAAAGTTAAGATAGTCTGTGGGACCATTAGCAAATCTGGGTCCAGACAGCTCCCTAACTGCGCCCCCTCCGCAACCTCTGGCGCCAAGCCTGCTCTCTAATTACAAGTTTTTGGTCGGGCAGTCTTGTTTCCAAAGGACTCTACTTCCTGCCCTGTTTTATTTTGTGACACTCAGAACAATCTGTCCGCCCTATAATTCCTGCCCATTAGCCAGCACTGCAGTAACCAGGGATGCAGCCTTTAACTATAGAAATGAAAGAGCTTTGGGGGCCTTATTAGACAATGGTCTTAAAAACATCTGAAGGTTCCCGTTCTCTGGGGTTTATTGGAAAAGTCTTCCTCTTCATCAGGAAATCTTCTAGAATCAGTAGGAGGCTAGAGATAAAACAAATGTATTTGGGGGAGATATTCTGGACTGAATCACGTACCTTGGCCATGTATGTTTCTAAGTTGTGTAGGAGGAACTGCTTTCACTGGAGATTAATTTTGCTACCTTAAAAAAGGAGCATGTTGTCATTTTAGCATTCATTTTGACAGGTTTGAATGATAGGTTGCCTTTCTGTATACTGCTCACCTCTTCTCAGTTCTGGCAATATTGCTTTACACCTAACATAGCAGTGCCTTGACTCCAGCTCCCATCAGCCTCAACCAGAACAGTCAGGGATGATAGGAGCTGTAGTCTAACAGCATCTGTTGGGCCACAGCTTCTCTTCTGTTAAGAGGTGGGATCTGGATCAGCAATTCCTCAGCCAATCTAAAACCGTACCTATGGAAGGATCCTGACTTTCATTCCACCAGCACTGAACTGGGTCTGGAAGCTAATAGGAAAAAGTGCAGATGAGCCAAAATAGGAAGGCTGCAGTCCATTGGTCTGCAAAGAGCTCCAAAAGGCTCTCCAAACTAAGGGTTTATCCACACATCTGTTCATCCTGTAAGTTATTCTGTTTGTCCCGTGATTTCTGGTCATGGGTCCAAGAGGTTTTAGTTTTGTCCCTCTGTTTTCCCCGGGAAAACCCCCTGTTTACTGCTGGACCAGAACAAATACCATTCCACAGAAAACCCATTGACATCTGTTACAATTCAGCAGTAGACAGCAGGTTTTCCTGGGGAAAGTAGTGGGGCAAAAAACCTCACTAAGATTTCTGGTCTTGTGCCTAGAAATCACGTGACAAACTAAAGTGTGGATGAGCCCTAATGAGCAACAAAATGGCAAATTTATGTTCAGTTTAGGTGTAAAATGATGCTCATATCTCACCCTTTTAGAATATACGGCATACAATTCTAGTTGCCTCATCTCAAAAGGAGGTAAGGAAGTAGAAAATATAAGCTAAAAGATCAGGGAATTAAGAATATATTTTGTATGAGAGAAGGCTAATGTATTTGGGGTTTTTTAATTGCAGGGGCAGACAACTGAGAGGCAACACAATAGAGGTTGACTGAATTATGGAATAGGTTGTATGAAGAAAGGGAAGAAGAAGAAGAAGAAGTTTGCAATAATAGGAAGTCCAGGGTGGGGGGCGAATCTGGTGGGATGATCATGTTTGTACATGTGTTGGCCAAATCATCTGCATAAACAGAGAGGAAAGAAAAAAATATTATGCAAAGAGCTTCTGAGAACTGAAAGCCAAATATATATCTCATTGTTTGCAAGGAAACATCTTTTAGTTTTAAAAAAATCAGACAACCATTGTTGAAAACAAGCCATGGGAAACTGTTTTCATGCTGATGATCTGAAACTGCTGTGCAATCACACACATGTGCTGCTTTTGTTTTGGCAGAGAGGTTTATAGGGTGGTCATGTTGCCGATTATCAGGAACATAGTTTCCAGGTGCCAAAATGTACTTGTAAATATTGGTTGATATTTTACACAATGATTTGAAGAGTGAAGATGTGACATTAATTCTGCACACTTTTCTTATGCAAATAGCAGTAAGTCTGAGTTGGTCCCAGGAATGTGGGGCAAATAAGAAGGGGGAGTTTGACTACACACTTCCTTTAGCATCACATTTATAAGCACAGGTCCGGGCTGTCCAGGTCCAGGTCCAAGCGGTTGCTTTTTGGTCTCAGTGAAAACCCACATTTTACCGCTGAATTGGAGTGAACAGCAGTCAGGCTTTCCACAGGACACTTGCCTGCCCTAAGTTATTGCTGGACAAGTTGCTAGACGAAGCTTCAGGTAAATGAAAGAACAGGGGTGAAAATCAAGGACAAATATAAGCTTAGAAAATTAAGCCCCACATTTTCAGCTATGAACTAAGGTTGGCATAGATCTACCATTGGTTTTAGGGAAGAAGAAAGCAACCTAGAGGTTGGTCTGCTTCCATTTTTCGGAAGTCATGGTGCATGTGTGATGGAGTATTAAGTCCTCCTCCTAAGAACAAACTTTTATTATCTCCCCCCCCCATAAACAGCTGGAGAACTATATCCAGGATAGTGTGAGAATGGAAACATCTGACAACCACATCAGTGCTGTGCAGAACCACACAGCGGCCATGTTGGAAATTGGCACCAGCCTTCTGAACCAAACGGCTGAGCAGACTCGCAAGCTCACTGATGTAGAGATGCAGGTAAGCTGGGCTGCTATTTAGGGAAGGCAGAGCAGAAAACTCTGAACCCCCCTTTTCTCCACTTCAGATCACTTGTGATTATTTTTTCAGGAGCCCTTGTATTTCTTGCCAACGTGGATTCTACAGGCAAGCAGTTGTTACAGACAATTAAATGGGCCATGGAGGGTGGTCCATTAGGAAAAATGGGGCACTGCCCCACCAAGCTCAGTCTGCCTCCAGCCAGCCCCCCCACCTCAATGCCCCCTTACTCACAACCAGTACAAGAGGTGACACTGGCTGGCTTCTTCCTCCTCAGTGCTGCCTTTGTGAAATTCAGCAAGGTGGATGATGTGGACAAAACCTGAATTAGTTGGCTCCACCTATAATTTGCTCTGGCTCCGACTACTTTTTGCCTCTCTACTTCCCTCCCTCACTGTTGAGCTGCTTGTTTTCCCCTCTACTCTCACCAACCAGGTTTTCACCCAGACCTCGCGGCTAGAAATCCAAGTACTGGAAAACTCCCTTTCTACCAACAAGCTTGAGAAACAGCTGCTGCTGCAGACTCAGGAGATCAGCAAACTTCAAGAGAGGAACAGGTCAGAGCTGTGCTTGCTTCGTGCAGAACAAATCAAGGCAAAGTAATAGAATCCATGCATGTTTGTGTAATTTTACTCTGGTTGCAGAATTTTTGATGTCTAGCTGTCAGGCCTGGCCATGTCATGAGACACACTGAACAACTTGCCTCAGGTGGCAGACTGGGATGGGCAGCAGCCTCTGCTGGACTGCCAGAATGAGCATGCCCCTTTGCCACTCACTGCTTGCCACTCAAGCTCCCATGATCAGCAGCTGCTTGGCAAGGTACTGTTGAAACCTTGCAAGGGCAGAAATGACCGGCAGAATCCGAGATCAAGGAGAGGAGCAGGTGGAAGAGGACTGGAAGAAGTTTAAAGTTTATCTACAAAAATACTGTAAAATTTATGAATGCTGAAGGCTCTGAAAATGAAATGAAGGAGTTCTAGCGATTAAGATAAATAAGATTATAAAGGGAGGTATAAAGATTTAAAATGAATAATCAACGATCTTGCTGAACTAATTTTTTAAAGTAGAATACAAGAAGGGAAGGCGGGTGGAAGCAAAGAGAATGAGGTTTTGAAAGCTATTAACATGAAAGTGTGTTTTTTATGTTAAATTTTTTCTTTTGCATTTTTCTTTTTTCTGTTTTTCTGTTTAGATTTTTGATGTTTGTTGTTTGTTTTTTTGTGATTTCTGTTAATTTTTGTTGATGTTATTTTTTGGAAAACTTTAATAAAATATTATTATATAAAAAAAAGAAACCTTGCAAGACTTCTTAGCAGTGTCTGCAGTAAGTATCAGCTGATGACACTGTGAGGTGGGGTAGCAGGAGGGTCCTAGGTCGTCTCAGGTGAGAAAGAGCAGGCAAGTTCATATGGGAACAGGTGGTTCTTCAGCTATCTTGGTACCAAACCCCTGATCATGTATTTTGTATTTTTCGTAGATTGCTAACTACCTTGGGTACACTTTCTAAGATAGAAAGGTGGGGTATGAGTGTTTTAAAGGAAATAATACAATTAACATTGCTGGCCTGTATGTGGAGGATTCCCATTATCCTTTCCCTTCCCTAGCTTCCTAGAAAAGAAGGTTCTGGCTATGGAGGGGAAACGTGAGGAAGAACTTCAAGGCCTCAGGTCTGAGAAACAGGAAATGCAGAGGTTGCTGTCCAAGCAGGTGGACCTCGTTGGGCATCTGGAACAGCGTCTGGGCGCTGCCCTGGTCAACAACACAGTCCTCCAGAGACAGCAGGCCTCCCTGGCAGAGACTGTGAAGCTCTTGATAGGCTTGGTGTCCCAGTGCAACCGTAAGTAACTGTTTTCCCTGAAGTGATTTTTTTCTCAGGGCAATCCTGCTCTACTTATTCAGTGCACTTTGGGGCTGGTGTCAAGGGCTGTCATCTGCCCAGGCCCACATCCCAGTAGGGAGCCTGTTGATGTGAGCTCCTGAGACCTGGTGCAGTGAGGAGGCAGACTACCTGAGGGTGTGTTGCCCAAGGGCACAGCTGAATGCTTCTGTCTGCACTCCTAAGATCCCTGGGAATCATCCACTGCAGACAAACATCTACAAGGAGATGGCTTCCCATAGGCATCTGGTTGGCCACTGTGAGAGCAGGATACTGAATGAAATGGGCCTTTGGCCTTATCCAGCAGGGTTTTTCTTATGTTTTTAACTTTCTGAGTCTAGGCCTACAAAAATGCATGCATGGACATTGCACAGATTGAAGACAGCTATACTGAAAGCACCTCTTTGTCTGACTCTTGCAGACATTTCTCACGTCCGCCCAGAAGAGCAGAAGACATTCAAGGACTGTGCAGCTGCATACAAATCAGGGTTCACCGCCAGTGGCATCTACACACTGCAGTTCCCCAACACTACGGCCACCGCAAAAGTGAGTGCAGGCATCAGGGCCTAGACACACCAAGGATGGGGGCCCTGTGGCCCATCGGATGTTGCCAGACTCTCAACTCCCATCAGCATCACCAACAGTCAGGGATGATGGAAGTTTTAGTCTAACAACATCTAGAGGAACATCTAGGAAGTGGGTGGTGGGTGGTGTTAAGGGATGCTCTGCTACTCCTTTGCACCCATAGATGGACAGTTCCAGGCAAAGATGCAGATTCCCTCTTAGGAAGAATTGTGTGCACACCCCTCTGAATTCCCTAGAATGTAGAAATCCTCCCTCTCTCCTGAAGCTCACTTTCCCACAGCACTTTTCTCCACATATCCTCCCTCTTAAACAACAACAACACAACAACCAACCCCCAGGGCTCTGAAACTGGAAGTGAACCTGCACCTGAGAAACTCACAATCTATGGGTTCTTTGTCCAGCTCTGAACATGAGGTGTTAATGGATGATGCAGAATTGGAAGAGTTGTTGTCCCTTAGGGCACAGCTGAGGAACCTCAGGCCCAGCTGCAGCTTGTGGACATTTGTGAAGTTTCCCTGCCATTAATGTACTGCACTCCTTGCAGGTCCTCTGCGACATGGAGACCAGTGGAGGTGGATGGACTGTAATCCAGCACCGGACGGATGGTTCTGTCGACTTTCAGCGCACCTGGAAGGAGTATAAACAGGTAAGGAAGCAGGTGGGCAGAGTAGTTTATCTCTTTTAAGGACCAGAGATGTACTTGAATTTTTTTTTAAAAAAGGAGAGTTTTAAATCTAGCAGAGGCAGGTTCACTTAATTGCTTATGCCTGTGGCAGCTGCTGATACGATCCTGTGCTCTTCCTTATGTCCATGACAGAACCTATTCCAGCAACTATTGCACAGAGAACGAGTCAGACTCCGATGCAGTGAAACCACCTGCACAACTTCTGCAACTACTTTTTTATGTCAGCTCCAGTTGTGCAACTAATTTGTATGCCAGATCTGTCTTTTCCCCTTTGAAGTGTCTCCTCCAATTTACTATGCTTATGGCAGCCATCAACATTTCTCATTGTCTTTCAAGTCCTGTCCACTGCTAGCCAGCCAGGGGTGTGTGGGTGTGTCTGTGTGGGCCTGTTCCAGCATAGTGGGGTAAGTGGTCATAAATCTCAGTGGGACTTGCCTAGGAGAGCTTTGTAAATAAATTGGTGTTCAAATGGGCCTTCTTCCATTTCTCTTTGAAACTGTTTGAAGTGTGTACTACTCCCAGTGAGTGGGTGGGGGCAGCAGCAGAGCTAGCCGATCAAGCGCCTGGGGCAGTGTGTGTGCCCTACGCCCAGGGGTGGGGTGAGCCAAGGCAGGATGTTCCGCAGGGCCTCCAAGGAGTCTGCCTGCCTCCTCCCACTCAGCTGCCCTACAGCCTGCGTGCGTAAGCCACCGCGTCTCTCCCAGGAAAGATGCATGGTTCGGGTGCACTGCAGGCCCCGCAGTGGGTGCCGCCCGGAATTTTGTCACCCCCCTCAGTAGTGACACCTGGGGCAGCCTGCCCCCCACTGCACCCCCTTCCTCCGCCCCTGGATGGGCAGTTCAGACAACCGTATACATGTAAAGGATCTCTCATATGAAAATGTTGGGGCCAGCAGGCAGGGATCGGTAGAGGGGGCTGAAAGCAGAGTTATTTGGAGGATGATGAGTAAAACGAAAGTAATATTAAAAATAGGCTAGCCAACACAAAATGACAAATGAAGATAATAGACAGGGCAAAAGGGTAAGAAAAACCCTTTAACGGACAGAAAACCACATTGCCATCCTCAAAATTTGTAAAAATAAAAACGACAAAAAAAATCGAAAAGGAACAAACAACCCACCCACCAACTCCAGGTCTAAACTATTAAAGTCTAAACTATTAAAATACCAAAAGAATGAGTGGTCCTTTCAAGTTGAGGCAAGTTGTGAAGGAGAAAATAAATTACAGGAAGGTGTAATTGCATAAGGTGAACTGAAAAAAAAACCCTTTGTTTGTTGAGAACACTGGCGCAGCAAGACCCTGGTGGGGCACTTACCTTAAGTTTTACAATTAGTTCTTGGGAGGGGGGGAAATTGAAGTGATTTGCAGAAATGTCACATTTCTCATTCTACTCGCAAAGGTCATTTGCGAGTAGAATGAGAAATGAGCCGATTTTGCACTAGGAAATTCTGAAAGTGAGTGAAAGAAAACTTTCCTGCAAGTTCAAACCATAGTAAGGAGTAGGCTAGTTTCTCACAGAAAATGAGAAGAATAGAACTTGTACGTTTTGCTTCATATCTCAGGTTCTACAAATGCTAGAAACTATTTAAAAAGAAGCAAAGGCAGATTGCAAGTGGTGGCTTCTATCATTAGAAACTACCAAATGGAAACTTTTTGTTTGTTTTGGAGGAACATTTGGTCCTCTGAATCCCTATCTGCAATTTGAAGTGGTACAGTCCTGACACAGGTTCACCATCTTAGTAGAAGCCAACCAGGTTGATTACCAGCTGGGATCCCCCCCCCCAATCTCTGCCATACCAGACCAGGCGGGCTTTGTAGCCTTGGTTGAGCCTTTCTGTGGTTCATTTGTGAACTGCTTTCCCTAAAATATTTCTAAGCAATTTCAAAGTAAAAGCATGAATAAAAACAGTTAGAAACATTATCTAAGAGGTGAGACAGTCTTCTGTAACTTCTGTGATGTGCTGTATCAGGACTCTATTAATCTGTGCTTCCTCTGACATTTCTGTGTTTTTCTTGCAGGGCTTTGGGTCCCCACCTGGAGAGCATTGGCTGGGCAATGATTTCATCCACTTGCTCACCGCACAAACTTCCTACTACCTTCGTGTCAAACTCCAAGACTGGGAAAACAATGAGGCCTATGCCTTGTATGACGACTTCCATGTAGGGCCTGAGGAGCATAACTACCGGTGAGGAGCTTATTTCCTTGTGGTTCTAAAATAAGCACCTTATTCAGGCAGAGAACAAGCTCCATGGCTGCTGACCATGAAGTCAGTTGAAATTTCAGGCCTAGTACCCAGTGGCGTAGCGTGGGGGGTGCAGGGGGGGCCGGCTGCACCGGGCGCAACATCTGGGGTTAGGGCAAATCCACAGGTTGGGGGGCGCAAATCCACGGGTTAGGGGGCGCAAATCCACGGGTTAGGGGGCGCAAATTACTTGCCTTGCCCCGGGTGCTGACAACCCACGCTACGCCACTGCTAGTACCACCACTAGTCCTACTCAGGAAGTGCTCTGGAAAGGTCCAGCCCTGAATCCTACCAAACCTGCTGGACTCCATTTTTAAAATAAAACACAATTTTAAAAACCTATTGGTGTTATTTCTTGGTGCTAGAACACCAGATTTTGTGTTTCAGCCCTCCAACCAAATAATGTACCGCATACACAAATGTGCATATTAGGGGCAAGTGTATTTTATTCAAAACTGTATTTTAAAAAAAGTTTATATTAGGTGAAATTTGCACTTAAGATGCTGGTGAATTTTCATGTGGACTAAAATACTAATAATCGCAAACTGTTAAGGAACTGTAGAGAACTGAATTAAGATTGGGGGAAATGAGAAACTGAAACTGTCCCGATTCGTCCATCCCTAGTCACATCTAGTTGGGCCCTAAAACCACAGTGTAGGACTAAGAAAGAGGTTGGGATAAGGGTTTGAGCACACCTTACTAAATGGTCTGCTCTGGACCGAAAGCATTCAGCTCTGTTAACACTGATTTAGAACTACTGAGAGCTGCTGGCAGTGGCATAGCGTGGGGGGTGCAGGGGGGGCCGGCCGCACCAGGTGCAACATCTGGGGTTAGGGCAAATCCACAGGTTAGGGGGCACAAATCCACGGGTTAGGGGGCGCAAATTACTTGCCTTGCCCCGGGTGCTGACAACCCACGCTACGCCACTGGCTGCTGGTAGCCATGCAAGTGCATGACCTCAGGTAGGAAAGAGATCTTCCTTGATTGCAGGAAAACAGGGATACACCACTTGCTTATGACACTGATGGCACAGCCCTACCACATTCAGACTTTTTGAAATAAACATTTCACCTAAGGCCAAGCAAGTATACCTTTTTTCATATTTCAGAGGAGAGGCAACCAACAGAGCATTGTAGCTGACAATGGTACGTTCCCCCTTTTGCCCCTGCAGGCTTTATGTCGGGAGATACAGTGGCACAGCTGGTCGCACGAGCAGCCTTAGTCCCTCAGGCACAGACTTCAGCACCAAGGACGTCGACAATGACCACTGTGCATGCAGGTGTGCACAGATGGCAGGTGGAGGTAATGAGCGGAAGGGGAGGGGAAGTGTGTGCCACACAACTCCTATATTGTGTTGCAAATTCATATGGCTCAGAGCACGGGTGACCAATCTGCTTGGGAAGAGTGACTTGGGGGGGGTTGCTTCAGGGTTTATGGGCAGAGTACCCCAAGGTTCCCTGTTTTTTCTCTTTTTCCTCCTCCCTCTGTCTCCAGGCTGGTGGTTTGACGCTTGTGGACCCTCCAACTTAAATGGCATTTATTACCCGCCCAGCCCTGCCATGAACAGGTACAATGGCATGAAGTGGCACTACTGGAAAGGCCCCAGCCATAGTCTGAAGGTGACCACCATGATGATCCGCCCTGTGGATTTCAGAGAGGAATAAGAGGAGCTCGCCGTGTGGCTGAGATGGACACGCTCCAGCAAGATCAACTGAAACTCAAATGCAGCAATGTGTCTCTGTCCAAATTTGTGCAATCTCTAAGGGGGAACTATGGGTGGGTGTACTTTTTTGGAGTCAAAGAACATCACTGTGCTTCTTATTGGCAGCCACCATAGGCGCCGACTCCATGGGGCTTGAGGGGGCTCGAGCCCCCTCAAAAAAAATTTTGGGGGGGCTCAGCCCCCCCAATAATCTCGGGCGCCGGGGGCGGGGGCTCCTGCCTCGCTGCTTCGCAGCACCACCGCCACTGCCAAGGCACTGCCGGGGGGAATTTCCTTCCTCCTGGCGGTTTCAGCCCCCGCGAGAACAGGGGAATCCCGACTGGCCACACCTCCCAGCCAGCCAATCGGCTGGCTGGGGGGCGTGGCTTGCCCTATTTAGGGCCGGAGCCACTTTATTTGCATATTCATGAGCTTATTTATTATTTCATGAGCTTTCCCGGGCCCCCCCAATATTTTTTATAAGTCCGCGTCCCTGGCAGCCACGCGGGGCACTAACCACAGAAGAAGCACCAGGTATATCCCAGATGCATCCTTGCCTATCCTATGTATGTAAGGAACTCCTTTAAAGTCCAGAATCCTGAGGCTGAAAATAGCTTGACTTTTAACAGCAGGCCTAGGGGAGGGTGTGTGTAAGAGAAAGCATTTATGGCTTGAAAACATTCAGGTGCTGCAGGAAGAACTGAGCTAGACTTTCTGGAGTCAGGCAGGAACCTCTTCTGCGCTCTCTGTGGCTCCTGGTTTACACCTCCGTGAGCAGGGTAAATTTGGAAAATATGTCCGTGTGTACTTAATAATTCAGTTTGGAGGACAATGCACTCACTGTTTTGTGTGCCTTTAATGGTAGGTTTGAACCTTTCTTACAAACTTGCCCCATGTATGGCTGGCAGATTTCTCAACCATCCCTTAGTGTTCTATGCAAAATATTATTGACTCTCACTGGCAGACGAAGGCAGAAGTTGAAGCGTTTAGTTTTTTCTTACTCCACACTTAACTCTGTTGTGAATTATGTGCTGATGTGTGAGTATGCACACATATGTAATCTAACAACTAAACAGTGCTAGATTCAAGTGGATTCTGCAGCCTAAGAACATAAGAAGGGCTTTGCTGCCTGAGATTGAAGGTCCATCAAGTCCACCAGCCTGTTTCATACAGTGACCACCTTGGAAACCTGGCAGGCAGGGCATGAAGGCAGACGCCCCCTCCTTTTGCTGTATTCCAGCATGTGATCCTCTTGGCTATACTGCCTCTGGAGTCATATAGCTATGCTATTTAGTCATTGATAGCCTTCTCCCTTATGAATCTGTCTTGTCTCCTTTGCCATGAATTTAATTCTGTGTTATGTGAAGAAGTTTGGGGTTTGTTTGTTTTTGCCTCCCCACAATCTAGTCTTGCCACATTTCCCTCATGGTTCTGATTCTGTCTCATCTCAGAAGCTAAGCAGGCCCAGACAGTACCCAGATGGGTAGGATCACTTGAGAGTCCTGAGTAATCTGGAATCTGCTGCCGCTGACGATTGGTTTCACTGAATAACTACAACTTCTAATATGGGGTAGTGAGCCTTTGGACCTCTAGCTATTGTTGAAATGCAACTCCCATCACCCCTGGCCATTGGTCAGGCTTGCTAGGGCTTATGGGAGTTGTAGTTCAGCAATATCTGGATGGTCAAAGTTTTCCTACTCCAGTACTATGGCAGGGGAGATATATTCTCTGTTCACTTTCTTCAAAGCATGCCTAATCTTATAAATATTATGTCCTCTTTTAGAACTCCCCCACCACCAAGAACTTTTAAGCCCCAAATTCTGCAAACTTTCCTTTTGGGGAAAGAACCCCAGTTTAGATCACGATGGCTGTCCTTTTCTGCACCAGTTCTCCTCTACAAAGGGGTGATCAGAATTGTGGCCAAACTACCTTACATCAAACCATTGTGATACTCAGCATTTGATTTTTCCTTCAATTGCAAACATAAAATTAAAATGTAAATATGTGCCTGAGAACCATCATCTGCAATTCAGATGAAATAATATATTGGTGCTAAGGTTTCACCATCAAATGCTGAATAGCCTGCGGCAATAACTCTTGATTGAGATATCTGCACCCGTTCAGACTTGTTGTCAGAGCTGCCTCAGGTCCCAGCTCACAGAGGACCAACGCCAGTCAGTTGTTATACAAAATAGTCTTTATTGAAGTTTCAGTTTCTCTTTTACAGCCACGGCGCGCAGCTCTACGTCTTAAACCCTAGACCGCCGGAAGCTCCCGTCTGAGTCTCCTCCCCCCAGACACCAGTTTTAAGACCCTAGCCTTGCTCCACCTCTTCCACTGTTCTCCTCCTCCTCTGGGTCCCTCTTGTCCCAGTATCTTCCCCTTCGCTTCTCCATTCCCTTTCTCCCCTGCGCCTCTGCTCCTGAGCCCCTGAACTTGTAAATGTTTATAAAAAGAAAGCCATCCAGCTCAGAGACATTAGAAGCTGGAGAGAACTTCTGGGTATACAGAATGGCCTCTGGTTGCAGGATAATACATATTCTTTTGTAAACTGTTTATGAGTTTTCTGTTGAGTAAGTGGTATATAAATTTTGTTAAATGAAATAGGGGGGAAAATATAACTTCTACCCCTCAAAAATTCTCTTGGCACTTCTGTAGCAGAGGAAATATTGCTTAGAAATCTCTGCACCTTCCACATTCCCAGAACTACCACCTTTGCTCCCAGGGTCTGGTATGAATTAAAAGAACAAGTCATTGTTAAAGGCAGAAGCTGGTATGTCACACTAAATCAGAGGTGGATAATCCCTAGTTTTGAGGACCTGATCGGGACCCAAGCAAATTTTGCTGCCTTGTCCTCCAGACCCAACCAATTTAGCTCACTGATGCAAAACAAATAATGGTTTGAAGTAGACACAGTAGTATTGGGGTTGGGAGAGCCCAGGGTCCCGATAGGGATGCAAAACACCTTCTTTGAGTCAAAGTAGTAAGATGGGGAGAAAACCAGAACCTGAACATACTGCTGTCACCTCGTTGGACATGTCACTTTGACAGCCTACCAGTCCCACCAGCTGTTGTTGTTGTTTAGTCGTTTAGTCGTGTCCGACTCTTCGTGACCCCATGGACCAGAGCACGCCAGGCACTTCTGTCTTCCACTGCCAAAGACCTATTTAGTCCATCCAGGATGGTGCTAAGGATAAGAGCAGACCAGTGAGAAAAATCACTGTACTTCTACTGTACAGTGATTCCATCCCCAAAGATTTCCCTTTGTCCACTCATTATCACCTTGCTGTACAAAGGCCAATTGTTTGGGAAGCAACCACATGTCTGGAATCAAGTTTCAGCTCAATTCAAACTTCAGTGTATTGTAGAAGTTTGTTCCTATCTTAATTTCAAAGCTTTTTTAAAAAGGAGATTTATTAGAGCCAGTAAAGAGGGTGGAGGAATATAATGGAGGCCAATAAAAATGCTATCAGGTTAGAGATTTGGAGATTCCTTTAATCTTCATCTGGCAACTAGCAGGCTTGGAGATAGTATACACAGTATACAGTGATGGGGTTTGGTTTTTTGTGGTGGGGGAAATTGAGTTTGCAGTGTGACGATATGGTGTTAGACTGGTCTTAAACTGTATACTCTAGCGTAAAAGAAATATCTCCTAGCTAATCAGTATTTGATCACTAACCTGTTTTTATCTGCAGGTAGATATATTTTGGGTTGCATTTGCCTAGCTTCTACTCCTCTTGAGTAGACCTGTTGAAATTAGTGGGCCTAAGTTAGTCATGCCCATTATTTTCAATGGGTCTATTCTGAGTAGAACTTAGTTGGATACACCCTTTCGTTTGGTTCCGTGGCTTCTTTATGACTGTTGTCATGATTAATTTGGTACGCTGCCTTAATGTCAAATAATCGAGGGCAGATTTAAATAAATAAATAAAGTAGAATAAAATCAAGGTGGTTGTCTTTTCTTTGAAAGTCTATGTGAAGGTGTCTTTTCTGAGGCTCTACGTGCAGGGAAGTGTAAGAATCGTGATGCTGAACCAGAGCAAAGTTCCATCTAGGGCTATAGCCCATCTTTGAGAGGAGCCAGCCAGAGGTCCCTGGGAAGATTACAAGCACAGCGTGATTGTGATGGAATCTCCTATTGTTTGTTCCCAACATCTGGTACTCATATGTACACTGCCTCCCAATATCCCTCGCTATCTTGGCTAAAAAGTTATCCATTCCTTCTTTAAAAAGCCACTTAATAGGCACCACAGACTCCTGTGGCAATTAATTGCATAGAACAAGGGGGGGGGGTACCTCCGGCCCTCTCAATGCTGTCAGACTCCAACTCCCATCAGCCCCAGCCAGCAAGGTCAATTGGGTCAAGGATGGTGGGAGTTGTTGTCCAGCCACATCTGGAAAAGGTTCCCCACCCTCCATAGAGTAATTATGCACCATGTAGTTAGTTGTCTTTCCTTAACCTAGCGTGCTTCTGGACCAGCCTTCCTCAACCTTGAATCCCCAGATGCTGTTGGACTGCAACACCCATCATCCCTGACCCCTTGCCCTGCTAGCTAGAGATGATGGAACTTGCAGTCCAACAACATCTGGGGACCCCATGGTTGAGAAATGCTGTTCTAGACTGTCACTATTTTGGGATGGGATTCAGTCCGGTTGTGCAATTACAGGTGATTGGGAGGCCTTGCACAACAAGCCCACTCCTCTTAAATATAAGGATTTCTGCAGCAAGGAAAGTCATAGAAAAATGCACTGGAAAGTGTGGAATCTAACCTCCACGGAAACAAACCAGGATACTGTAAGTGCTTTGGAATGGGTCATCTGAAAACTTCCCTAGTGTCTAGCATAAAATCACCATGATTCCATTCCACATCTGGTTTTGATTGAAAAACACTGTTATTGTATTATTATTAATAGGAACATTATAGTAGCTGTTACAGAATCTAGCTTTAAAAAAACAACAGTCCATCGCCAGTTTCTAGTTTATCTGATCATGGAAATAAATTGGAAAAGGCAAAATATTAAGATTTTGTGGTATGCCTGAGAGTATAGCGGGCCCAAGACATTTTACTGCCTAATACATAACAGAAGCTGGAACCCCAAGCTCGCCCAAGCTAAGGTGCCTAGCACCACAACTGGCCATGTTATTTTGGCACTCAAGGCAGGAAATCCCACAAGCACCTCTTCATTGGAGTAAAAATAAAACAATAATATATTTTAAAACTATTAGCTGCCCTTTACGACACCCAAAATCTGCTGCTTGAGGTGGCTGCCTCACTAATGTGCGTAATGCTGGAGCTAGGCATGCCTCTTGATCTCCATGACTGAAAATAATATGCATACAAGTCTCAACTCTTCCTTTGAAAAAAATGTTCTATGTGCAGGGACGCGGACTTATACAAAATATTGGGGGGGCCCGGGAAAGCTCATGAATAATAAATAAGCTCATGAATATGCAAATAAAGTGGCGCCGCCTCCTCGTGAGCGAATAGGGGAGAGCGTGCTGCGCCTATTAATCAGCTCCGGAACAGCTGATATGCGGGAAACGTGGGGCTAGCCGGAGAAGAGAGGGCGAGCCCCCTCTGCTCCGGCCCTAAATAGGGCAAGCCACACACCCCCAGCCAGCCGATTGGTACCCGGTCGTTCTCGCGGGGGCTGAAACCGCCAGGAGGAAGGAAATTCCCCCCGGCAGTGGCGGTGGTGTTGCGAAGCAGCGAGGCAGGAGCCCCTGCCCCTGGGGATTCCCTAATCTCGCGGGGGACGGCCGGGGCTCTCCGACTAGGGCGCGCGGCTGGCTGGCGAGGGAGCAGGTGGGGAGGAGGCGGGGGACGGCGGCGGCGCTCTGCTGGAAGGGCGCCCGAGATTATTGGGGGGGCTGAGCCCCCCCAAAAAAATTTTGAGGGGGCTCGAGCCCCCTCAGGCCCCATGGAGTCGGCGCCTATGTCTATGTGACCATTTCACCTGAAAAAGAATCTTGTGTAACACAGAAACTTGCATTCTGTGGCCTCATTTCTGTCATATATGTAAAATATTTATTTTTGTGGAAAAAATACTAATAAGAGCCTGGATATGACCATCAGTTGATCCTATGAAATGAATGATTTCCTCACCCCTGCGAATTTCCCCTCTCAGGCGTTGATTTGCAAATGGATCATCGAGATCAGGTTTCTTGTTTTGTTTTTTAAACTCAGGGCCCCTCCAGACTTGTGGTTTATTGTGGAACATGTCCTGCACATTAACAGCGCATTAGTGGTGCCTTTATTTTGCTCCAGTTTGGTGATGCTTTCCCCAAACAGCCATTGTTGCTGCCTGGAGATGTAACAGCGGAGCAGAAATTAACCTAAACATTTGTCCTATAAAAACTTACAGGACTTCATCAGGAAGTTATTGGATATGCACTGATTGGAAACGAAGCAGCGGGGCCTGCCCAAACAGTATTGAAAGTGGGATCACATGTGACACAACCTGATAGCATCACAAGCCGAAACCGTCACACGTGCAATGAAAACGACGTCTGGAGGGGCCCTCATTGGATTTCGACAAACCAGATTTTTTTAAATTGCGGGGGGAGTACACGGGCGGCATTTTAATGCCAACGATGTCGTGGGACCATCCCACACACATACACACCCCACAACCTTGCAGGCAAGAAGAGCATCGATCCACTTGGAAGCAGTCCGGGCGATTCCCGGCGAAAGCTGGCCAGGTGCTCGCGCGTTCCCAAGAGCCAGTGCATGAGAAACGCGCGCCCTCCGATGGACAGCCGAAGGGCGACAGGCTGGAGCAGCAGCCCGCGGCACGGAGGGAGGCTGCGAAAGGAGGGAACGGAGAAGTTTTCCCGTTGCAGCTTGCACCGCTTGGGAACAAGTCCTGCAGCCTCCTGAACTACACACCCGGGCCCACAAAGACGCTTCCCGCAGTTCCGCTTGGTCTTTCAGAGACGCGGGAAGGGGAGGCCCGGATCCAGTGGCGCCCTTCCAAAAGACCGGAGGGGGGCACAGCCAGGGCAGGATAGGAGCAGCCTGCACCCCACCCTCGGGTTGCGTAGGCTGAAGGAAGCCGCCTGAGCCTGATAAGCGTTTTGCAATCTGCCTGCTGAGAAAAACGGCGCGGGCGGAGGATCTGTCCCCAGATACGTCTGCACGCCTAGATTTCGGCTTCCAGGGAGAAAGGGGGCGGAGAGGGCTAGGCGGCGCAGCGGGTGCTTTTACCAGCGCGATCTTTTTCGCCTTTACTTGGAAGAGGGTCCTCCTCGGATTAAGCGGGGTTTACAGGTAAGCGAGTGGGCCAAGGGCTTTTTAAGATACCCCCAACCCAATAATTATTGCTTTAATCCTTAACGAGTGTAATGAAATACCGGTATATTTTACAGCCTTTTCTTTTTGACATATGCGGTGATAGTTCGCCACAAGGGACTTGTTGTACAGGGAGTTGTTTTGAGCTAAAACAGCCTGTGCATTAGAGGCGACGCTCAGAGCAACCTTGATCTAGGACCAGGGACACAGGGTGGTTTGAAGTTTCCTTAGTCAAGATTTGTCTACTCCTTTTCCGCTGTAGAGTTTGAATGGTTCCACTGGAAGTTGCCTTTGTGCAAAAAGAACAACTCCTTGAACTGTCACGTGATAGGACCATCAAAGATTAAAAAAAAAATGGAAATGAGGTTTCTCAAATTTTGGCTTTATGCTACCAAAATTCCTCAGTTGCTGCATTACCACTGAGTAACCTTTGCTTGCCAATGAAGAAATTTCTGTGCTGCTGCCATTTGGTAGTATATATTTTTGCAAAACAGGTTTTTCAGCACTGACTCTTATGAAAATGAAATGATCTGAGACAACCATCAAACTCTGCGTTGATGTACCTGTTGGCAAAATGCAAACCACCGTCCCACTGGTTCTTGCATAAATGAACTTAATTGTGAATGAAACTATTAAAATAGTTTATTACATCTAACACTGATTAGTGTAACCATATGTTTTTAGAAATACAATCAGATGGTTGGTGTTCTTACAGTCCCATGAACAAAATTGTGTAAATTTGTTAACTACTATAAATATCTCAACAAATTCCACATGAATTTAAGTGAATTTTTGCATGGATGTCTCAAGTAACAATTATAATATAGGCAAATTTGCAGTTAAAATGCATAAAACCGATGGCTGCTGAAGACCTTTGGTCATGTGACAATAAACCAATAGGTCAATATACCAAAAAAAGGTTGGGAACCACTGGCATATAAGATTGCAGCCTTCATCTCTTGAGTTTGGGCGGAGTAGGGTTACTGCTCTCCAGAGAACTTTTTTTACTGCTTTTTCTGGGGGAAATGTGCCATTTTTAGAAATGTCTTGGTTTCAGAGAATGTAATCCGTAAAATATGAGCACAGAGCAAGTCACATTGTGTAACTGGAATGACTTCAATGCTGATGACATCTAAAATCAAGATGGTGTGTGGGCACACTCATCTGAGAAGTTTTTTAATTAATGAGTTAATACATTTATTGGCACACATCAGGGGTGCTCCAACATGGAGGGGTGCTCCATGGATGCTTTCAGAGCCACACCCAGAGCACAAAGAATGTTCTCTCCCCTGTTGCAGATTGGGGGTGTGTGTCCAAGGTGAGTACCTTGTACCTGGATTCTGCCAGTCTGAGACAGAGGCAAGGGAGCACAGCAGGGATGGGGAACGTGATTTGCCCCACCAAACTCAAGTCTTCCCTTAGCTGTCAGTTTCCTCGTCCTTAGTTTCAGTTTTGCCCTTGTAGAATTCAGCAGGGAGAAGGATGGAGACAAAACAAGACTTAGTTGGATGCACCTGCCATTGGCTCTGGTGCCACCTACTGTTGGGTTCCCAGCATTCCACCCTACCAGTCCCAGTGGGCACTCACCACCATTTTGTGTTCTCATCCACGATGCCATTCAAGGAAAAGGGGTCCTTCTTTGGAGGGTGTGATTGTTGTCCTTGGTGGTGCTCATATTTGTTTCCTCTCTCCTGTACCGAAAGCGATGGCCTTTCTCCACATCATCGTCCTACTGCTGGTGGCTGGGCTGTGCATGGGCCAGGACTTCCCTTTCAGGGACCCCACATTGCCTTGGGAGGAGCGGCTGGACGACCTGGTTAACAGGCTGACATTGGATGAGATGATACTGCAGGTACAAGAAACACTTTTTGACCATTTGACAGAGGTGGCAGGGCAGAACAGGTGTGGAGAGGCCTGGCAAAGGGCATCAAAGCTGCAGGAAGGGAGGAGGGCTGGTTTGGAATTGTAAGGAACATCAGACTCCTGCTGGATGGATCAAGGAACCATTGAGTCCTGCATCTTCCTTCTCATAATGGCCAACAGATGCTTCCGGGAAGTCCATAAGCCGGTATTTAAGGCACTAGCTCTACCTTCCTGCAGCACACAATGGGACGCTGTGGTCTAAATCACTGAGCCTAGGGCTTGCCAATCAGAAGGTCGGCGGTTCGAATCCCGCAATGGGGTGAGTTCCCGTTGTTTGGTCCCTGCTTCTGCCAACCTAGCAGTTTGAAAGCACATCAAAGTGCAAGTAGATAAATAGGTACCGCTCCGGCGAGAAGGTAAACAGTGTTTCCGTGTGCTGCTCTGGTTCTCCAGAAGCAGCTTAGTCATGCTGGCCACATGAGCCGGAAAAACTGTCTGCAGACAAACGTCAGCTCCCTCGACCAGTAAAGCGAGATGAGCGCGCAATTCCAGAGTCGTCCGCGACTGGACCTTAAGGTCAGGGGTACCTTTACATTTTACCTGCAGCACACACAATAACTAGGATTTAGTTGTACATTCTCTTAGAACATGGAGGTTCTTCTTCAATCTCATGGCCGATTGCAATGAAATAGAAAGCCTGGATAGCTCAGCTGGCTAGAGTGTGCTGCTGATAATGCTAAGGTTGCAGGTTCAATTCTTGTATGAGACAGTTGCATATACCAGCATTGCAAAGGGTTGAACTAGATGGTCCTCTTGGTACCTTGCAACTCTACAATCCAACGTGATAGAAATCTATAAAACTATGCATAGTGTGGAGCAAATGGGTAGATAAAAAGTTTTCCTCCTTCTCTCTTAACACAGACAAAAGGAAGTACTTCTTCACACAACACATAACTATGAAACTCGCTCCCACAAGGTGTAGCGATTAATGGCCAACGACTTCAATGGCTTTTAAAAAGAGTTACACAAATTCACAGAGAATAGGGCTATCAGTGGCTCCTTAACCATGTTGGAGGCAGTTCTGAATGCTAGTTGCTGGAAACCGCAGGAGGAAAGAGTGCTGTTGCACTCAGGTCCTGCTTGTGGGTTTCCCAGAGGCTCTTCTTATCGGCCACATCCCCTGGCAGGCAGACCCATTATGTAATTGGTGGGATGTAGTAAGGCATGTAATCCTTAACCCAATGGAATGGGCCCTTCAGCTCCTCTGCATTATGTAATTGGTGGGATGTAATAAGGCGTGTAATCCTTAATCCAATGGAATGGGCCCTTCAGCTCCTCTGCACTCCACATTTTTATGGAATGTCCCAGGGGGTGTAGAGAGAGGCCAGGAGGGCCACATTTGGCCCCAGGTCCTGAGGTTTCCTACCCTTGCGATGCATCTTTACTTGAGTGTAAGTCTAATTGGATTCAGTTGGACTTACTTCTGGCTAAACATGCATGGGAGTGGGCTGAAAATGTTGCAAGCCTCGTTAATTAATTTGGAATAACAAGCACCTTATGATTGCCTTAGCATAGACAGAATAGATTCCCTGCTTCTCTCACAAGTGTGGGTTGAAAGGAGGGAGGAAAATCTACCACTGGTTACTTGGTGTTTAGAAGCATTTAATATGCACTCAGTGGTCTAGTGGAAGCTGCCATCCCAGTGCACAAAGGAATCAGCCCTTTGGGATTCCCTGAGCTGTAAGCTTAGTGCCACCTCATTGCAAAACAAAGACCGGGTATGGAAGAGTTCTGAGGGGCTGCCTCATCTGCTGACTGGTGCTGTGGCTTGTTCACCCACAGATGGCAAGAGGAGGGGCAAAGGGCAACAACCCAGCGCCGCCCATTAAACGACTGGGCATTGGGCCCTACAGCTGGAACACGGAGTGCCTGCGTGGAGACGTTGGCGCCCCAGGGTGGGCAACTGCTTTCCCCCAGGCCCTGGGGTTGGCTGCCTCCTTCAGGTATGGCTGCTGTTGAAAGGTGGGTCTTGGCTGTGGCTTCTCCTAGGTTCTCCTTGATTCCCTTTCAACCTATTCTACTAGTGCCCCGTTTTGGCCCCAACAGAGTTGCTGGGACTCTGTCCCCTGGGAGGGCCCACTAGGGCTCTGCCATGGTCCTGCCTTGTTGAGTGGCAGACAACCATGAGCCGCCATTTTACATTTCCCAGTGTGCTTTGTAGGAACTTACCCCATTATACTGATGAAATTAGGCAAGCACTTTTCTGGCATTGTTTCTATCACCTTATAAAAATGTTTTTGTTTTTCCAAGCCTACTCAGATTTCCAAAGCTAACGTGCATTTTAACCTGTGATTTTCTTTTGCGATCATTTATATTTTTAACTATTGATCTTATTGATATTTGGAATTACTTTTAGATCAGCTTGTTTTTAACTTTTGGCTTTCATAGATCATTTTAATGTATTTTAAAATGTTTTCTGTAAACTGCTTACAGGTTTTGACATCTGAGCGGTAGAGAAATGTTATTTTAAAAAATAAAATAAAATAAAAATCACTCTCTGAGGGATTTTTTTTTAAAATTTAAAATGGCAGTTGCCTAGCATGTGGAGGGGTCCCTTGAGTGCAGGAAGGGACCCTAAAAAAAGTAACATACCAAGGGTTCCTTCAGCCCTGGAGCCAGTCCTGGCCTCGTTTTCCATTTCAGCTGCCTGAAAATTACAGTTCTAATTATTAGAAATGGTTGCTGATTTAAGAGAAGCAATTCTGCTTGGTTGCCAGCTCTCGCTCTCTCCCCCCCCCCCGAAGTAAGGTTCCTGAATGACACAAAGCCCTGTCAAATGGCAACCTGGCCTCCATTTCTGTCAGTTGCAAGAGGCAGCGTCATTTTTTTCCAGAGAACTGAAGTTTATTTGAAAGAGGAATTGCTTCTTGAGATGTGTGCACACATTCCCTCATCACCTCTAGTAAACGGGTTTTGTATAATTTCAAAAGCCATGTGTATCAGAGGCTGAAGAAGGAATAAAGAAATATGTGTGCCTCTTGAAAACCAGATTCAACCCTCTGAAAAAAATATTTTCTAGCCTCACTGAAGTAGTCAATCTATTCCAAGGCCCTTTAAAAAAAAATAAAAAATGGTGGTGGGAAGCTGACGTGATTTAAATGCCCCTCCATGTAGCCAGTGTGGTGTAATTGGACTAGGAAAAGGGATCAAATCTTCACATAGTTCTGAAACTCAGTTGTGAGGACATTTTTGCCTCAAGCATTCAGTCAAACAGGACCTAAAATGTCTCCTGAAGTGCCTCAGCCCAGACATAGGTTTACCCCACCCCCATCCCAGCCTCTGCCTTCAGCTTCAATAGCAACTTGCTAGATCAAAATGTCCTTTTTGACTTCCTCTCCACTGCTGCTTCTCTTTGCTGACAGCCCTGAGCTCATCTACCGCGTGGCCAATGCCACGGCCACTGAGGTCCGTGCCAAACACAACTACTTCATCTCCATTGGTAACTATGACGACCACACTGGCCTGAGCTGCTTCAGCCCCATGTTAAACATTATGAGGCACCCACTGTGGGGCAGAAACCAGGTATGAATGGTTTAGGAAATGGGGACTCCACAGGTGGGAGGATACAGAGGGATGGGCAGACCTGTTCATTTCAGTTTCTCATTTTCTGCTCTTAAGTTCAATTCTCCACATTTCCACATCAGTTTGTGATTTCCCTTCTAAAAAGTCCTCACAGTAATTTATCAACATTTTAGTGTGGATTTATCCTAATACGAGCATTTTTGCAAAGCAACTTTCCCCAGTACAACGCCTTTTTTGTATGCTGTTTTCACCAATACAAGCATTTCTATGCACACTTTACACTAGTATGTGCATGTTTGAACACATTTCTTAGCTGGAAAAACTGCACTTCAAAATTCAGGAAAGAACGAATTTCAAAGGATGGTTGTGTTTCAGTTCTTTTCTTGTTTCAGAAAGTGCAAATTAAGTAGGACTGTCTTTAAATGAAAACTGAATCTCATTTATTCCCCATCCATAGTGGTGCCTAACGTGGGCAATAAGAGCCAAATATGGATTATTGGGGAACACATAACCTGTTTCTGGTCAAAGGTGTTACTCCTATTACCAAGCTTGGAGTATTGGGATGGCTATTTTTTCTTAGATATTTTCATATTCTATTTATTATTTACTTAATTTTGTAAGAATAAAAATGCAGGAATATGAAAAAACATGAGAAAATATGAGAAAAATGCTGCTTGTTTTAAAATATTTTACCAAAATATTCCAATACCATCAGGTACAGTGGTACCTCGGGTTAAGTACTTAATTCGTTCCGGAGGTCCGTATTTAACCTGAAACTGTTCTTAACCTGAAGCACCACTTTAGATAATGGGGCCTCCCGCTGCCGCTGCGCCGCCGGAGCACGATTTCTGTTCTCATCCTGAAGCAAAGTTGTTAACCTGAAGCACTATTTCTGGGTTAGCAGAGTCTGTAACCTGAAGCGTATGTAACCTGAAGCGTATGTAACCCGAGGTACCACTGTATATGAAAAATGTAAATCTGACAAACAAAAGGGTTTTGTAACAGAAATCTCTCGATTTGAATCTGAGATAGTAAACTCTAAAAGAAAAACCCTCTCCAAAGCATACTGACTCCTCCTTGACTGGGAAGTCAAGGAGAAGGAGGTCACTGCAACCATGGTTAGGTGGTCACAGGACTTTGGTTATTCAATAACCATGCCACAGTGGGGAAATTTGTGGAAGAATAATTAGAAATTCACAAACTGTTATGCTCTAAAAGAAAACTTCCTAAAAATGCAACACCGATGGTATCTAACACCTTGGGAATTGTCAAAGATGTACAAAAATGTCCCCAGTAATTGCTGGAAGTGTGGAGATAAATCAGGCACTTTCTACCATATGTGGTGGCTATGCAAAAAAATCCAGGCATTTTGGGAGGGTATCCACTTAGAAATACCAAAAA